GAGAGGTATACACCTCTCGGTGTATATAATCAGAGATGCATTTATATCGGTGTATATGCACTAAGGGATACACACTTGCCAATTTCCATACCGTGTATACCTAATTCCGGATTAACATTCTGTATCCTTACTGAAGGAGAACGCGTATTGTGGACGTATTACAAACGTATCGTAGAGGTATAGTGAAAATATCGTGGATGTAATGTATGAGGATCGTTAATATATCATGATAGTACGAACTTATCGTGAAGATATTGGGTGTATCGTGAATGTATCGTGTATTTATCGTGAAAATATCGTATACCTTGAAAATATCGTGTATATATATCGTGAAAGTATCGTGCATGTATCGTTGAAGTATCGTGTATGCATCGTTACTAGTTTAGGATAATGTCCTCAACTATTAACGTTATAGGTTAGTTTGGGCGAGTAATGTGAGGTTTTTGGAGTGAGGCAAAATAATTGAATGAACTGTGGGATTTTATTTGCAAAAGTTTTTTATTAAAAAATAAATATAGACCAAACTTTCTATTTGAAAAATGTTTTTAGACTGTCGGAAATGCTTGCAATTATCTATTTTTAGCTTCCCTTTTGTGATTAGACATTTGAGATTATTAACTATAAAGTCAATTAGAGAGATAAGAACGACTAAAATGCGCTCAGGAGAGGAAAGAGTTACTATATGTAAGTACAAGTTTGTGTAATTTGCCTGTTGTTACACAAATATCCCGTAGATACGAGATACGAGCTTATAACGACGTTTCAGTCCGACTTGGACCGAGTGTATTGTTTCAGTCACGGTATTGTGTCTATGTTCTTCACCTGTCATCTTACATGTTTGTCAGGCAGAAGGAAACGATCAAGAATTTTTCCAAATTGCAAAATATTTAACAGTTTCGTTTTACACTATGACAGGACGGAATCAGCTTCCTGGATGGGTTGTGTTACATAAGAACATTAGAAAGGAGGAACACTGCAGCAGGGCTGTTGGCCCATATTAGGCAGGTCCTTTACAATTCATCCCACTAACAAACATTTGACCAACCCAATTTTCAATGCTACCCAAGAAATAAGCTCTGATGTGCAAGTCCCACTCAAATCCAACCCCTCCCACTCATGTACTTATCCAACCTAAATTTGAAACTACCCAAAGTCCTAGCCTCAGTAACCCAACTAGGTAGATTACCAACCTGTTTGTCTGGTAAAAACTGAAAAAAACGTGAACTGGAGGAGAAATAGAGTAGGTCTTTAAAAAATCAGCTTAATCTCAGAAATATAGAAATACAGAGTAGGAAAATTACATCTTTAAGAGTGGAGACTGAGGTGTAATACCTACAATTCTTGCACCATTAACAAGTTTTCACGCCATTGTGACGCTCCCTTAAATTCATAATGCTTCTCATATTTGCTGATGAGTCTTTAGTATAAATTCATGTTTTTACTGTATCTTGTGGCATCCTGCTCGTGTCCTTGACACGAGCAGGATATTTGGGTCTAAAATGTATGGGACTAAAATGTTCTATTATGGGGTGTCGCGATTCCTGTGAGCGGCACATAATCCAAGGAGTTTAGGCATTGCTCTCCTACCTTGGATCAAAACTGATAACCCGATGCGCTATTTTTGTGTGGCAAAAATACCTTGATTAAATTTAGTCTGTGTTGTCATCAATAACATCATTATGGTCATCAATCTTCATTATTCATCATCAGCAACTATCATCAATCTACTTAATCACTGTGTGTTCAACAAAAAACATGTTAATAGTTTATTCAACAATTTATTCACTGTTTTTTGTCAGCTGTGGACCAGATGGGCATGAAAATAGTTTTTAGCATTAAAGCCATAATTGATGATGCTTCAAATGAGTTTAGAATTGTTGCAATTGCACTGAATGACACGGAGGCGCAGTCAACAGTCCTCCTCGCTTAATGACACGGAGGCGCAGCCGACAGTCCTCCTCGCTTAATGACACGGAGACGCAGTCAACAGTCCTCCTCGCTTAATGACACGGAGACGCAGTCAACAGTCCTCCTCGCTTAATGACACGGAGGCGCAGTCAACAGTCCTCCTCGCTTAATGACACGGAGACGCAGTCAACAGTCCTCCTCGCTTAATGACACGGAGACGCAGTCAACAGTCCTCCCCCCTTAATGACACGGAGACGCAGTCAACAATCCTCCTCTCTTAATGACACGGAGACGCAGTCAACAATCTTCCTCGCTTAATGACACGGAGACGCAGTCAACAGTCCTCCTCTCTTAATGACACGGAGACGCAGTCAACAATCTTCCTTGCTGAAGCTGCTTATTCTGCATTTTGTTTTCCACTTATTTTTGACGCTGCTTTCATATATGCTTTGTAGTGCATGTGCACATTCATGCACACTCACGAGATACACAGACACACAGACGGACGTACGCACGCGCGCACACACACACACACACACACACAAACTCGATTAATTCATCTGAAATTAAATAATTTCTCTTCTTTTTTCAGATAATTTGACAGATCGCTGCAGGTAAGAAGGTCATATCAACCAGCTGTTATAACCTGGAAGTAGATGGTAGAGGAAAACCCATCTACTGTGAGGTAGATAATACCGTCTACTGCGAACTATGGACAATAAAAACAACGAAGTAATTAAAAATATTACGCAGAACAATAACTCACGTGGTTATCCAATCACACAGATATAAATAACAGTACATCAATTACCAGAGATAATTGTTAACTCTCCAAATTACACCACAATTAAAGTAATTACGGCTGCACATTACTACAATTAACAGAGGTACTTAGTCCTGTGGACTGTGTAGGCGAGTAGAGACTTAGTAGCACCCTGGAAGTAGTCCAAGAAAATTTGCTTAATGAAGGGAATTGTAAGTTTATGAGAAGGGAGTACTGGGCAGAAAGATACTGGTGTCCCGAGAAAGATACTGGTGTCCCGAGAAAGATACTGGTGTCCCGAGAAAGATACCGGTGTCCCGAGAAAGATACCGGTGTCCCGAGAAAGATGCTGGTGTCCCGAGAAAGATGCTGGTGTCCCGAGAAAGATGCTGGTGTCCCGAGAAAGATACTCTTGTCCCGAGAAAGATACTCTTGTCCCGAGAAAGATACTCTTGTCCCGAGAAAGATACTCTTTTCCCGAGAAAGAGACTGGTGTCCCAAGAAAGATACTGGTGTCCCGAGAAAGATACTGGTGTCCCGAGAAACATACTGGTGTCCCGAGAAAGATACCGGTGTTCCGAGAAAGATACCGGTGTTCCGAGAAAGATACTGGTGTCTCAGTAAAGATACCGGTGTCTCATTAAAGATACTGATACCCCATTAAGATACTTCCACCCCAATAAAGATACAAGTGTCCCATTAAAGATACTGGTGTCCAAATAAAGATTTCGACGACTCAATATTAATCAAGATTACCAAGAAAATTTTGATATTTTGAAAAAAAAAATTCTGGGATATAATTAAGAATAATTTTCTGTTCTTGTATGGTATAATTGTCTGAATTAAATCTTTCCTCTCTTGATATAATTGTTAAAAATGTTAAATTATTCCCTACATTCTTACTATGATAGTGGTTACCATGGTTACCAGTTTTCCATAATGGTGGTTAAAATAGCTAGCAGCCACCATAATGGCAGTAAGAATGGTTATTAGGCTATTAAAGTAGCAGGGCCATTCAGGCAGCAGTCAATGGTGTTTACCCAGACCTGAATAATAGTAACTACCATCACATGCTGTGGAGCTGGAAAAGCGACCTTATGTGCGAATCACTGTTGTTATTGTTGTCGCTGCTGCTGTTGTTACTTTTGCTGTATTCCTGCTGCTGGTGCTGTTATTGCTGTTGCTGCTGCAGTTATTGTTGTTGCTGTTACTGTTGTTGCTGCTGTTGGCTCCGTATTACCCCTACGAGTTTGACACTTAGTTATTCTCTCTCTGTCCCTGTACTAATTCAGAACCCTTCCTGCAATCTTTCCTTCTCTTCTTATACCCTTCACAAATTTTCATCTCTTCCTCACCTTACTCTTCTTACTCCTTCCTCACCTTACTATCCTTCCTCTCCTTCTCTTTTCTCTCTTTCCTCATCAAAAATCTAAAATTATTCCAAGGAATAATTCTGTACTCCTCCCAGTAGTTACCATCCAGTAGTTACTATGATAACCATCCAGTAGTTACTATGATAGCCATCCAGTAGTTACTATAACCATCCAGTAGTTACTATAACCATCCATTAGTTACTATAACCATGCAGTAATTACTATGATAACCATTCAGTAGTTACTATGGTTACCACAGAGTGAACGAAAGACACAGTCCATGAAAACCAATCACATAAATTCAAACTAAAGAGTACAAATAGGTAAGAACACACACACACACACACACACACACACACACACACACACACACACACACACACATATACTGGAGTATGCAGCACCAGTCTGGAACCCACACCTGGTCAAGCACGTCAAGAAGTTAGAGAAAGTACAAAGGTTTGCAACAAGGCTAGTCCCAGAGCTCAGGGGAATGTCGTACGAGGAAAGGTTGAGGGAAATCGGACTGACGACACTGGAGGACAGAAGGGTCAGGGGAGACATGATAACTACATACAAGATACTGCGGGGAATAGACAACGTGGACATAGGATGTTCCAGAGAGGGGACACAGAAACAAGGGGTCACAACCGGAAGCCGAAGACTCAGACGAGTCACAGGGACGTTAGGAGGTATTTCTTCAGTCATAGAGTAGTCAGGCCGTGGAATACCCTAGCAAATGAAGTAGTGGAGGCAGGAACCATACATAGTTTTAAGAAGAGGTATGACAAAGCTCAGGAAGCAGATAGGGAGAGGACCTAGTAGCGATCAGTGAAGAGGCGGGGCCAGGAGCTGAGTCTCGACTCCTGCAACCACAATTAGGCGAGTACAATTAGGTGAGTACACACACACACGGAGCCATCCCCTAACCAATATTCATCATGTCAACTAACCCTGAAAAAAATCTGTTATATTATTATATCCCTTTGTTATTTCTCTCTCTCTCTATCTTTTGCTCATTTCTCTAATGTTTCTTATTTCCTTGCCTATTTTTTTTTCTGTGTTCGACTAAGTCGAAATCCATGCCTTTTTTTTTTTCAGCGGTAACAGTGTAAACAGATGCGTCACTGGCAATATAAACACAAATGCAGTATAATGTGATCCTTTATTGACTACGTTTCGCCCACACAGTGGGCTTTTTCAGTTCTGTTTGTGACTTGAAAAAGCCCACTGTGTGGGCGAAACGTAGTCAATAAAGGATCACATTATACTGCATTTGTGTTTATATTGCCATTGTGTCGGTATTTTATACCATTTATTTCCAGATGCGTCACTGGAGTGTGTGGATGTGTCAGGGATGAAACTTAAGAGAAGAGCAGTGAAAGAAGATTTAGCAGTGAAGGAAGAAGACTTAGGAACATAGAGAAAATTTATTAGAGGATTGGTTTTTTTTCTTTTCTGTTAGAGACCGTAACCAAGCCATAAGCTGCTCAATTTCTTTATCCCTCTTCTAATCTTCACAGAAGCCGTCTTGATGGTTGGTTAATTTGCCTTTAAGTTTATCGACTACTCAAAAAGCCATTCAGGCTGAGGGTCACCTGTTCCCTGGTGAGTAATATTTTAATCCCTAAAATAGGGATTTAAATACTCATCATATATCTTGTGCAGTATCATTTAATCTTAGTTCCAGTTTTGTCGGTATATTTTTCAGTGGTTTAATATTAAGAATACTCGTGACTTGACTGGCCTAGAGTGCTTCATTACCTCTGTTAACCTGACCTTCAATGTCTTTCAACCTCTTCTCCTGATCTGACGTCAAGCTTATTAATCCCACTGTCGCCAGCAAGAACCAAAACGTCATCTACAGATTAATTTTCAATTTCAATGTTAGTTGTGAGCACAAATATTTTTATAGACTCTGAAATTAACGTTAATACACCTTGCACTCTCTCAAACGTTGAATATTTATTAAAATGCGAGTGATTAAGTTTTTCTCTCCATTAACCTACATTACTGGGTATAAATGTCAAGTTAGTTTTTGTATGTACCTCTCTAGTTGAGAATACAACCATTTTTATGATACAAGAATTTTGAATGTGTCTTCCAGTTACAGCTACTGCAACTTCCCTCACTCTGTATTTTCTTGTTTTATTTTTTTCCTTGTTATACTTGTCTCGTTTATATTTTCCAACTCGCTTATTTTTTGCTCTTTCTCTTATTTGCTTTCTCTCACTTTTAGAGATTCTTCATTTTTCCGTCACCATCTATCACTCGTTTATCATATTCATTCTCTCTCTTCATCTACCTCTCGTTTTCTTTCTCTCCCTAATGTTCTACCTCTCTCTCCTTGTTTCCCTCCTACTCTCCCCGTCTTCCTCCTGCTTTCCGTCTCCCTCCTACTCTCCCTGTTCGTCTCCTGCTCTCCCTGTTTCCCTCCCGTGTTCCCTGTCTCCCTCCTGTTCTCCCTGTCTCTCCCCTGTTCTCCCTGTCTCCCTCCTGCTCTCCCTGTTCGTCTCCTGCTCTTTTTGTTTCCCTCCCGTGCTCCCTGTCTCCCTCCTGTTCTCCCTGTTTTCCTCCTGCTCTCCCCCTCCCTGAGCTGTCTGTCTTCTCCATGATTGGAACAGACGCACCTTCCATCCGCGTTCACCATGGGCTCTGGCACAACATTTTTACTCCCCACACAAACCCACGCAGCAGCCAGGGGCATTCCTCAGCTCTTTCTCGTCTGTTTGTTTTGGGGTGAGTGGGATTGAGTGAGAGTGAGTGGGACTGAGTGAGGAACAGCGAATGATGATTATTAGATTATATAGACCTCACATTCATCCTACACATTCATGTATTTCCTGTACAATTTCATGTGTGTGTGAGTCGTGTAGTCCAAACAGATATTTTTCCGGACACTTTCTCAATAGTTTTGTCCATGTTTCAGCTTGAGCAAGAGAGCTCGGCAATCTGGCCAAATTTGCCTACCAAATAGTGAGCAGAAACTCGAAATGTTTTTGGTTTCATTATAAATTATTCCCTAGCCTGGCTGGCTATGTCTCCTTAGTTGGGTCGATTTCAAAATTTGTTTATTGCATATAGCACAAGGAAATAAGAGATGTTCACGTGATGTTCACAGACATTCTGTTATGAACAACAGAGATTTTGGGTGAACTTTTGGGTCTTTAACTAAAAATCGAAGAAGCTTCTAGAACATATCTAAGATCTAGTAAATATGTAGTGTTCTGTATATATGTATTATCATATGTGTGCACACACACATGATAAAGGGATGTTAGGAAGCATTTCATCAGTCATAGAGTTGCCAGGAAGTGGAATAGTCTGGCAAGTTACGTAATGGAAGCAGGAACCATACATAGGTATGATAAAGCTCATGGAGCAAGGAGTGGACCTAGTAGCAACCAGTGAAGAGGCGGGACCAAGAGCTATGAATCGACCCCTACAACCACAATTAGTCGAGCATACATGCACACAT